GGGCCTTACATAGATGTAGATAATTCTAAACTTCCCCGACACGTTACCACGTAGTGTCCAGTACTAATTATCACACCGGAAGACGAGAGCTTCCCGTCTTTTGCCACTGATCCAGAGTCTTAAAGCCCGACTCGCTAATGCCCAGGCGACTTAAGACTTAAGAACGGGGTATCTCGCCTATTCTCTACCACCAAGATAAACGGTCGAGGGTGCACCGTCTAAGAGGGTAGAGACACTTCCGGTCAGCTCGCTTCCTGCCGGTCGCGTAAGTGAGTCACTTCAGCCACGGGTCGGAAGTTATCTCGATGAAACGGCTGCGTTCGGGTTTAAATTTATTGTTTCTTGCTACAGCAATTATCTTGGCAACCAAGGGAGCCAAGATAATTAATGAGTCACGGGAAAATAATATATCCAAGGACAACTTCCAGGAATTATAATGAGAAATAGGGGGAAGAAAAATGAAAGCTCACGATATATTTACATTTGTAATAATTACCTATATTTGCGTCTCACTTTTTACAAAACTGTATACATTATGAAATTAAAAAGATAAGTAAACATATTTTGGCCCGAAAGCACAAAGAGCACATCTCGCAATGTTAATTTCGGAATAAATAAATTATTTCGGTTTTTCGTTCGACCCGCTAGAGAAAGTCATGAGAACGACGGAAACGATGCGCCACTTCCGCGTCTCGCGGAGCTCCTCCAAGATGCTCGCGTGAGAAAGTCTCAATCTAATAAATTCATGAAGAAACGTCGTACGGTCTGGTCGCCCGCGTTCTCACAGACCTTCGTGAATATCGAGGCGCGATTCCTACGGTTTCCGTGTGATCTGCCGACCGCAAATAGCGAAACGGTAATGCGGCGATGCGGCGGCCTTGCGTCTCCAAGATCAAGCGAGAGACCCACCTTGTCGTGGAGGAGCTCTTATCGCCCGCGGATCGACGGCGTATCGAATGAAATAGATTTCGCATAAGAGATGAGCGAAATTACTGGGCGCCTCTCATCAAGGGCTTGACCGCAAACCACAATCCGGCCTGAGTGAAACAAAGTCGCACACCTTGGTGCACCATACTCGACGCAGCTCGGGAGAGACGCTGTCTCTTCACCAAAAATATACTCTGTCCCGTGACAATTGAATTCAACATATCCTTTCTATGTTCTTTCTACGACAAATCATCCCGCTTGCCCTAAGAAAATGTTCGCGCGAACGTCATGGCACTCGTCGCATCGATGATTCCTGTCGTTTGACTTTTTTCTACAAATAGTACGATCGCACGAAGAACCTCTTTGCGAATCGGCCGACGAGCGAATCGACGATCGCGGGCTGATTCATTGACGAGTCGCTCGCGTGTGAGCGTTGCCTAACACGCGCACGGATCTCGCCGTGGCTATGAATGAAATCGCGCGTGGCACGTCCTGCGGTGGTGGGAGCCGACGAGAGCGTGCGTTGCGTAACGTGCACGTGTGGGTGGGTAGCGCGCGTGTGGGAACGTGGTCGCGGCGGTAAGGAGAAAACGCGTGCACCACGAGTGAGCGAGAGACGCGGACGGAGTCGGGCGTAGGCGGAGTCGCTCGCAACGTCGTCTTCGCTCGCACATGCGCCTTATTAAGGTGCCTCCCACAACGACTCGGTCGCTCGAATTACGGAGAATCCACGTCGCAGGTCGCGATTACCGTCGCCCTTATCGCGCATCCTTATTAACGAGTCTAACGATATTTCTTTTTTTTTTCCTCTCTCTCTTCCGTCGACGACTTCCTTGACAAATTGCGCCTCCGTCGATTCCTCTTTCTCTCTTCTCCTTCACGTCGCGAATATTGCTCTTAACGGGACTCGAAGAACCTCGCCGTTAAGGGTGTAAAATCGTGAGAGTACAGATATAATCGTAGACAAAGGCATTATCGCAGTTTAAAACAACTCGTGCATGCTCGGACGTGCGTGCCTAAGACGGCAATCTCTTAGTCCGACGCCTCTCTCTCTCTCTCTCTCTCTCTCTCTCTCTCTCTCTCTCTCTCTCTCTCTCTCTCTCTCTCTCTCTCTCTCTCTCTCTCTCTCTCTCTCTGCGCTTTTTTTATTGTTTCGATTTACAGTTTTGCTTCGGTGGGACAGATCGCACGGTTTTCGTCTCGATCAGAATCGAATGAACTCGTTTGTATGATCCGGTCCACTTCGGCGATAAATTGATCGAGCGATGATACCGCAAACTATAGAAGTCATTAGACCGGTGACAGATTTACCACGAAAACGTCGCAAAAAGGGATTACGAGATAGCTAAAATAAATATGATTTAAACGACTCTGGGTAGTCTTGGTGCAAAGTCATCTTTTTGTTTAACAAAAAGTCTAAGCTATATTAATGAATGGCACCCAAAGATACGTATATCAAATATATCAGGAAAGATATTAATAATAATGACTCTTAGCGCCACAGTCCACGTAGACAGTCCCCTAGCCTGATTGTCAAAGTTTCTGAAATCACAGGATATAAGGCGAACAAGTAACTAGTAACCTATCTCGCACCAAGTTCGATTTGAGCGTCATGACTCCTCTAACTCTATAAGAGCAACAACTCTTATGGCAAATTATTCTCGACGGATTGTTACTTTCCTTCTGAAAGGTGACGATCAAATAAAAACCGATGATGACTCGAATCTTTGACTCGTCGAAACAACGCACATACTTCTGCTCGACGATTACATATACAGTAAATATATCGTGTGACTAAAGAGGAAATTTCTTGGGGACTTGTAAAGTGTATTTTAAAAAACGTCTTGAAAAACTCTTTAGGAAATCTAGACTTGGTTTCAGCGAAAGTAGATAATCCAGAGAGATCATTATTTGTCGCAGTTTTCAGTATCAAATGCTTTGATAACTGAATTGTAAACACAAACTTCACCAAAATAAACTTCATCTGGGATATTAAGCGAAGACTTTTGTGATATTTCGTTGCCGTCTAGGAACCTCATAATTAGAAGGACTTTATCTTGAAGGAATGATTAACAGTAGTGGTCTCAGCTCATTCTAACGCTTGGCAGCGTGGCACGTATATAAATAACGAACACGTCGCTGCAGGAATTATAAGCAACGTATCGATCGGAGCGCTGGAGGTGGCGAAAAATAAAAGGGAAGAAAAGAAGAGAGGAAAGACGTCAGGGACCACCTAATGCCGCGATCGCAATGAGATAAATAATCGCGATGGGTGGGCGCTGGCGCCTTCCTGAGCGCGGCTTACGAGTTACGGACCGCGCACCTTATGGATCCCCATAGGGTGCCGTGCTCTCCGTCGTTGCGTACCCCATAAGGTGGTACAGAGCTCCAGCCGCGTGTGAGAATCCATTCCGCGCGATTTCACAGGAAATCGCGGGGGGGCCCCTCACCACCGAAATTCGCCTTTTTACCCCCGACCGCCTCCTTTCTTCTAGCGCACCGCTTCTTCGTGTTGTTCAAAGTCTTGAGAACCCTATCGCGTAAATTCGGGCCTCCCTGTGACGGGCGAGTGCTGTCAAAGCCAAACATTAGGCCGTGCAAAGCGTATCTTTGTTCGACGTCGAGTAACACTGGAATTATGTAAAATAATAGTGGACGCATTTGTTATATATTAATTAGAATTATTCGAATAATTTGCCCAATTATCGATAACAATTTTTAATAATACAGAAAATTCATTGCGAAAAATATTACCTCAGCCAGGGTTTGAACCTGGACCTCCCTACACTCTAGACGGGCGTCTCACCAATTCGACCGCTGAGGCATGTAGGGTAATATTTATCGCAGCAAACAGTACTAATGACGATACCTTCGCGTTAATTTTTTTACTTGGACTCAGTGGTCGAATTGGTGAGACGCCCGCCTAGAGCGTAGGGAAGTCTAGGTTCAAACCCTGGCTGAGGTAATATTTTTCGCAATAAATTTTCTGTATATTATTAAAAATGCCAGATGCGATCGAGAAAATACTGGCGTTGTTAATTACTGCTGGCGACATTGAAAAATATTCTTATTATCGATAATGTTGGCTGTATTTGAAAAGTTCGCCTGTACATTTACATGGCCCCAATGCCGCTTTACGTGCTTCATGTCGTCCAATGCCGTCCACAAAACTTGATGAACAACACGAGCGATTTTCTGTGCGCAAAGCGAAGAATCATTTTCTACGGCGCTAACCGAACGGTAACGGCACTCTTTCGTGGTTGAATAGCCCGTTGAAAGTTTCCTGACCGGCGCTTTTGTAGCATTAGCCGCGGGTAACGAGTCGCCTTGCGTACGAAATCGCCGTGAATTCGACAAGCGGAGAGTTTGATTGTTCGCGCGAATCGCAACACTGGGTGCGAAGAAGTGACGCCGGAAAAAGCGATTGCACGCGATTTAGAAGCTCCAATGAGCGAGACGGTCGTTACACCCGTGATGCCATTTAAATAAAGTAGGAAACCTGGCAATAAATATTGCGCGAGAAATTAACTGGCTATACAAATAATTAATGCAAACATAGTTGCACCGCGGCCGAGTTGTTCCTTGCAAAACAATTAATATCTTCTTCGTCGGAGTTAGTTTTCTTTCTCGCGAAAAAGCGGAGTCGAAGAAGCAGACCCGCAAGCTCGTGGTTGCGCTTACGTCGAGCTGGTCCCGTCGGTTCGCGGGCCACGCTCGCGCGCTAGGCGATCCTCTTCGGGGTCCGTGCGCGTGCGAGGTGGAGGATTAGGTGGAGGAGCCGGTTACGAGAAAGGTTAAATAGGTGCCGGGTGGCGGTGGTTCTCGGAAGGTGGGTGTACTCGTTAGTGTGTGAGCCCGCCTACCGTCCAATGCGGTGGCTGGTTTCCCAGAGGACTCCCTGGCCTCTCTCGCGCGGCTTTTCACGGTCCCCTCTCTTTCCTTCTTCCTGTCGTCGTTTTCTGCCGGCACCACTTCGGTGGAGAACTTCGACCGTGTGTGTATGTGTACATGCGTGCGTACGTGCGTGTGTGTGTGCTCGCGCGCACGGGCGCGCGCGCGCGCGCGCGCGTGTGTGTGTATACGTCGCTTTGCATCGCGCGCGATAATAGTCACGGGTGGGACCCCCTTGACGCGCGCTCGCCTCGAGATCGCTCGAGATACCGGGTCGACTACTGACGAGGCCCGCAGTTCTCAGAGCATCGCGATCGACGGTGGATCGATCGCCGACTCGCGCGATCCAGACCAATCCGATGGGATCCAACGGAGAAGCCCGACGCGGAAACGACGATTATCGGGAAACCCGATGTACCTGATCATTCGACGAAAATTACGAGACGGAGAACCGAGAAGTGATCGAAAGAAATACTCCAATTTAACGCAAGAACTTGGAGCACGAGTCGGATAAAATTGTGGTAATCGAGAATTTGAGAAACGGATTCGCCTGTGTCTTTGAGATACGACGTGCAGTAGTGTGCGGTGAGAAGAATTGTTTTAATGAACCAGTAAAAACAAATAGTGCCTTAAATCGGGATCATCGCAGACCGTTTGTTAATCGACTTATGAAGCTGCTTAGTTTCATAACATTTTAATCGATACGCTTTAATGACACTTGGATTGGTACACTCGTTATTACCAATCAGCCTTAATAGCGTATTAGCAGATACATCGATCTCGGTCTACGTCGTCGCAGCTGATTCTTTCGATCACTGAGCCGCTTTCGTACCGATTTCAACTCTTGTTGCTCCGAACAGCGCCCACGTTTGGATGTTAATAACGATTTACGATTTATAATTCTGTATTGACACTTCGGTGACGATAGTTCAGTTTGCACCGAGCACGTGGACTTTTTGTTAACAAACTGACGGCCGATCAAGGTGAACTGCGGGAAACGAAAAGAACAAGATGCTCTTCAAGGGTAACAGTTCACGGCTGGAATTGCTGATAGGAAAGATCCACGCGCACAAGGAACCGTCGCAGGACGAGCAACACAAGTCTAAAGGTCTGATCTCTCTCTTTTCGTATCTTTCTCTCCTTCTTTCTCTCGCCGCTTTTCTCCTTCCATGTCCGTCTGATTTTTCATCTACCTGAATTTCTCCTAACACTTTTCCACAAAGTTTGACATTACCGTCGCGCTTTTTCACCTCGTTTCACAACTTTTCATTCGTCACCCCTGAACTTCAGCGAATTCGCGAGAAATTTTCTGCTCTACGAATTTGTAAAAATTTGAATTACTGGAAATATAGGAGAATACGATTGAAGCTACGGCAAATCCCGACACACGAAGGTGTTATCGCCTAAATTTGAATTTGGAATGCAGTGTATCGATTCGTACGATTAGGGACAATTTAAAGCAAGTAAGTCGCTAGCTGGTTGTATTTACATTTCTTATATTTACTTGTTTCGCACAGTAGAAGGAATTTATGGACCATGCTGGGTGTTGTCTCATTCTGACGCTATCACTCTATGGCGATCGTCACGACGACAAGGACGAACGCGAGTTACTTACAATATATTTATAATCGCGTCCCGTTTCGTCACCCTTGGTATCGATATACTTCTCGCGGTGGTCACTTCTTTCGTTTCTTATTTCTGGTCCCTCGCCTCGATCAGGAATCGCTGACTAATCGCACTCCGTTGAAGCAGACACGTGGCGACGTTACACGTGCATAACCCGAGCCCTTGAAACCCGACGCGGTACATCATTCATTCTACTTAAGGTACTGAATTTTAATTATAATTTAAATATAAATGATCTCAACTTAGACGCGATTAATTTAATCAGTCGCGAAATCTGAGCCGTACGGTCCGATATATCAGTCGGCGAATCCGTGTGCTTCGAGAGCGAGCTGAAAACTACCCTCTCGCTTTCCGTTTCCCTCTCACTTCCGGTACTCCTCTCTGAGAATTTTTGGACTCGCGCTGAAGGATCGGATCCTCAAATCGCCCGTTGCGTGTAAATCGAGCCCGGCGAGAACCAACGTGAAATATTATTACTCGCGCGAATCTCCCCGTGATAAATGTTCATCCTTGTGCAATAAATAACCCATCCGTGGTCACACGCACGCACACGCGCGCCTTTAAGCATGCTGCGATTGATGACGATCGCCAAGAACAAGTTGATACAAAATGGCTTTCTGACGAGCGCGCTATTAAACTCTGTCGCCGGTAACAGCGGCGATAATTTTACTCCGTAATTGCGAGTGGACAGCGTGAATATTTACCGCGAGACGCTGCTTGGTGTCAAACACCAATGTCAATGCCTGAAACGGTCGTACGAAATCCGAGCATCCTGCTAAATCAGCGCGGTACAGTGACCTCTCATTAAGTTTTCGAAATCGTCGCGCTTACTGGGAAGATATTCCCGACGATCTTCAAATCAAATTTATATTGAGTCGAATATTATATGAGAAAGCCCATTCATTTCGAACGTATTGATGCGCAACAGAATCTAAAGCCCGCTGCAGACGATGCTATTTTTCCTGCTGGATTGCTTGCAATTTAGTAAATTACTAGGAATCCTGAATGCTGAGTGGTGCAATGATAGTAATTTACTAAATCGCAAGCAATCCAGCAGGAAAAATAGCATCGTCTGCAGCAGGCTTAAGAAATAGGAATCTTTCGCTTTCTTTAAGCCTTGTGTCCACGATCCAAGAACCGTGTCCAAGTTCTAGTCCCGAGAACTGCGTAGCCAATCAACTTACGGCTTTTATAGAATAGCTGCAAGGTGATCGGCCGCACACTTCGCGAAACTAGAACTTGAACCGAGTTCTAGCACCGCGGACACAGGCCTTTAAAGCAGCTTTTCCGTAAAAGATGAGAAATGTCTCGGAACTTGGGCACAGTTCTTGGATCGTGGACACGAGGCTTTAGATTAATCGAAGAGATCGTAGACGAGACGCTGACGGGAAAATTAGAATAATATAGGAAAGGAACGAAGAGAGGACACTTCTTTGAGTGAAAGCACTTGACGCGTCGCCGCGAGTCCGCGTTACGCCACTGGCGCGAAAATCCGCGCGAGGCACGCGCGATCCGGCATAAGTCACAATTAGCGAAGGCGTTAAGTCGGGCCCCTATTAATAAGCGTCGTCGAAGCGCTCCTATAAATAGTCCCGGGGGGCACGAGGCGACAACAGCACCGTCAGCGGGACGCGGCGCGATGCGGCACAGGTCGCCAACGCGTGCATCGGCAGCTAAATGCGCCTATTTTCGCCTCGATGACACATCGCCGCCGATCGGACACGATCGTGGGCTAAATAAGAGTTCTCGCGAACCAAGAGGTCTTCTCCCCCTGAGCCACCCCCGACATCTCGCCTCCACGTGGCGCGGACGGTATGCGGAGTGCCCGTAGGTCAGCCGAGTGTTTTCGTCCTATGTCTAAGAATTCCTGAGAGTCACTCAATGTTAAATATGACGATAGCACAATTGGGCAGCGAGTGCATTTTCTATTTACAGACTGATTTGCCAAAATGCCTCTCTGGCTTTTGCTGCACGCGCAACGATCGCTCACGTTCCTTCACACCTAGACCTAGTCTTTCTCCAACGTGGCTCTCTCAGCGTCCACCCGAAGCGTCATCGGAACGCGTGAGTCAGTAGCAGTGCCAATTGGGCGAACGCCTCGATAGGTGCCTCGCGTGTTGCGCAACGTGAAAAAAAAAAGAGTCTCTCGCCTCTCGGAATATGAGCCACGAGTGTCCATCTACACGATATAAGCCGCTTCGCCTTAAAAATTTTATCAGTTTACTCCCAATGTGAAAACGATTGTTTGAATTCCAAGAGTATTCTATCTCGGAATTAAAAATGCGACTTGCGACGTGCGTGTCGAAAATGACTCGTGTTGAAAATGAGTCTTTTGAGCGGCACGATCGTCGCGGTAATTCGCGCGGAAACGCAGTGGTGCCTGGGCGACGTCCTTCTAGGAGAGGAAGAGACGAGCCTCGCGAGGATGACGCGTGGGTGGAGGATGCGAGCCATTTACGCAGCATCCACGGCGTACCACGATCGCCGCTCGTATCTTTCTGGGTGGCGGTCTTTGTCTTTCACGCGCGCGTAGACTGGGATTCCGCAAAATCTCTTAAATCGACTCGTGGGTGTCGATCCATCGCCGGGGCCGACGACAAATGAGGAAACGGCCAACTAGCCGAGTCATTTCCACCATTTACGCGCGGCGCGCCACGCTTCGCCTCTATCACGGAGTGGTTCTCGGTGGTCTCTCTAGTCCTCATTCCCGGCAATTATAAATTATTTGTGATTAGCCGGCGTGACTGCGCCGGAAGTAGCGACGCGACACGCTCTCCCTCGGCGACGAGGCGGAGGATAAGTCGGATTTTCTGTGACGGAGACGCGGGGGCCCCCACTTGACCCGTTTGCCCCGGAGTCATTTGACGTTTCGCGCCGGGGTCACTACTTCCGAATCGGTTCACGCGTTTGAAAGGTGCTACGGTCACAATTGTGTCATTTCCATCGAAATTACCGCGGAATTATTTTACGCGTACGGCACCAAATCTTTTGATCAATTTCTTCACGTGCGATGCACGAAATGGCACATTTAATTAAGGATATTGTGTGCCATTAAAATATATTATACATCATTTAAACAAGTACATTGGTCCGTTTCGCGAAAGTTGTTTAAAGAAGAGAGGCCCAAACGAGGTGTCGGGCGACCCTGAGTTTAACGAAGGAGGCGACAATCGCGCGACGCGTTCTGCCTGTTGAATGTAGCCTAGCGCGATTTAGGGTCGCGCAGGACCGCGATCTTTCCCGAGCCAGTCAAGGCTCGGGGGTTAATGGTACGAGTTTTACCGTCTCCGCTCGTTACGAGAACGATATAAAGGGACACGTAACAGGCGAGGTGAGACCGGCCAGATCCGTAATGTAGTTACGCATATACACACAACGAGTTCGTAAATCGTACGTCGCGCCTCGAATGTAGGAGCGTCCCCTTCTTGCGGAGAGATCCTAAAGAGTCATTTGGATTTTGATAAGAAAAGAAAATTAGCAGAAAAGAGAACATTCCGACAGTTACACCGAGGCGTCATCGAAGTTCTCTTTCTATGTTGATTCCAGAGGCCCTAGGAACCGGAAGTTCCTCGTGGCACAGCGAGGATGGCGGGCCCAACTCGCGTCGCGGTGGCGAGACACCGTCCTCCTGCGCGACACCGACATCGGCCAGCTTCCCGTCGGAGCCCGAGGTCGACGCCGACGTCGGCGTCAATCCCGACGGCAACAACCCCGCTGCCCCGTACCCCTGCCAATTCTGCGACAGGACGTTCCCGCGACTCAGCTACCTGAAGAAGCACGAGCAGGTAAGGACGATAACAGCTTCCTCGATCACCAGATGCGACAGTTTGTTATTGTTCGGGGACAGGGATTTGTACACGCAGAAAAATATTATTGTACAGTCAAGAAAAGTAATTACTCAGTTTATTTTATTCCGTTTAAGTAATAGTTTGCTTTAACAAAGAATATTTTCTTAATAATAGTTTTAAGATATGCTTGTTACTAGTCTTAGAAAAGCTTGCCATCTTATACTCAAAGAAAGAATTTATTCTTCTTTGAAGAAAATTATAAAACTTATTGAAGAATTCCGTATGCTTCTTTTAATAAAATCAGAAGAAACAAAATTGTTTTGCTTCAAATAATTCTATGTATTTTTGTTTCAAGTACTAGACTTACTAAGAACCAGAATATGTTTTGAGTAAATATAACACTTGCGACGACATTATGATAGATTTGCGGATATATAAACTTATCAAATACTTGGAACAAATAATCTTTACTTGCAGGTAGTATATATTTTTCTGTGTGTAGATACAGAAATGAAGAGCCGAACGTTTCCTTTCGTTATCACGATAACGTAAAGCACACCCGAGTCGAAATTTTGGTATCTATTTTGACACTTTTAAGGATAATTTACACCCACTTAGTTGATCTATACACCTACGTACACCAGCGATAATCTACTTTCATGACATTATATTTTTTACTCCTCCCTTGAATCTTTAATTCTAAAAATTTACTTTAGCTCCTGCTTAAAAGGACCTACTGTAGTGTTAAAGTGGCAAAGTAGAAATTGCCGACACTATCAGTTTTAAAGTAGGAGTAAATTTTATACTTGCGGTTCGACCTCTTTTACTGTCTCAGGTCCTACTATATAATAAAATTAAAGGTTCAACACAGGGCGAAAATTTCGACTCGGGCAATGTCTTCTACGTCTTCCGTGCATTTCCGCAGATGCGCTGTTGACGTTTCCAAAATTTCTGCCACCCCGAATATCGTTGCGACAGTGTAAGACGCAAGGTCAGTCGTATGAGAATTAAAAAAGCAGAAAAGTACGAGACCAAGAGGATCGACATTTGTCACGGGCATTAGTATGCGCGCCACGCATGTCGCGAACAGAGCACTCCTCACTTCTCGCGCCACGTGAGAAAAGGTCCGAGGTGTGATTCCGCGAGGTCGGCGAGTCCCGTACGCGGGCAGGTTAACGCGTTTCCGCGGCGCGAGTGTCCTGCCCGGAGGAGACGCGTGGCGAGTCCTCTCCTTTGGATTTTTCTGTTTTGCATGGCGGTGGCATTAGCCCGTTCTTCCGCGTCCGAGGCCGGCCGGCGCGGGTCATCATCGGGTCAGAATCTGTAGCGTTGTGCCCATAACAGGTTGTACCGGTTATCAGGTTATTCGTCCAGGTGGCGGCCGCCCCTGCGGCCTCCTCCTCGCTTCTTCCTTTCGCAATGCGAAAGCCCGCTGCTGAATACATATATATTATACGCGAGCTGAATCGCGCGCAGATATGACTCCGATAATCAAGACCCCGAGTGCCCGAGTCTAGGCAGATAGCTGTCTATTTATGCTACGCACAATGTTGGCTTTGCTCTACCGACAATCGCCGCGAGTAATCTTAATCCTTGCGAACCTGTCATATCGCCAAGTTAACGTTGACAGATCCACAAACGGTACAATTTTAAAGATTCTCAAGATACCAAGATTAAACATCCAGAAGCGAAAGAAGCTTTGATGATAAAACTTCCCTTGGCCACGCGTCGATAATTTCTCGACGACACACTTTGACAATTCGATTACAATCGCGCGGTACCCTCCGCCAAAGTGTTGGTCTTTTAAACATCTCTGGTTGTTGTCCGATTATCGAACAGCGCCGAGCGCGCACGGGCCTTCTGGTGGTCCTCCCCGGCCGGCCGAGCGAGAGACCAAGGCGGCGATCGCTTCGCCCATCGTCTAGATTGTCTCTTCAAAGGAGCCGACGGCTCGAAAGTCGACCGGCGCGGTCTCGTCGTACGTGCCAAGCTTACTTACCTTGTAGCGACCATTTCGTGGCCGGAGAAGCGGCACGAGAAGCGCTTTAGCTCCGCGAGCGGGAGCACGGCACAAAGAAGGTGACCGTATGGGATGATATCGGCCACCGTGATCTGGGTGGGTGACGCGTCCCGCGCGGCCGACAGAGAGCCCGACGCTTCTTCTTCTTGCTCCGTGAGGCTCGCCTCCTCTTCTACCGACTCCTCTCTCTCTTTTCTCGCGCACAGTATTGAGACGTTAAGCGCGAAGCCCTCCTGGATGTACTTGAGACGCGTTCTCTTCCGCAATGTCTTACACATTTGTAATTCTACATAAATTGAAAACTAATATAGAAAACGGTATCATCACTGTTTTCAGTGACAATCCACCGATTAACTTTTAGAGGGGAGGGGTGCAATAGTGCGATACAAGGATTGTATTCATTGCAGAGCCACGGCGATCAAATGCCCTACCGATGCAGTTGGTGCAACAGACTATTCAAGCACAAACGCAGCCGCGATCGCCACGTGAAGCTGCACACCGGAGACAGGCGATATCGCTGCTCGAAATGTGAGGCCGCCTTCTCCAGGAGGTAAGGGCGAATTCACTTTCCAAAGTATTCCGTCAGATCAACCACCAAATTGGTCGCGCGAGCGAAGATTTTACAAACGGCGCAAGGGGCGAAGCTCCAACTTTCGACCCTCTTGAACCGTTTCGAATTCCTCCCGACGTGTCAGTCTGTAAGAGATTTAATTGACATTTATGGATTATGTCTCAACCACCAAATTGATCGCACCAGCGAGGATTTTACAAACGGCGCAAGGCGCGAAGCTCGAACTTTCAACCCTCTTGAACCGTTTCGAATTCCTCCCGACGTGTCAATCTGCAAGAGATTCAATTGACATTTATGGATTGTGGCATAAAATACACACGCATACACATATACGTAATCAGTAAAGATCATGAAGGTGTAAGAGAAATAATCGCGCTGGCGCAGCCGTAAAACGCAACAGATGGCCGAACGAGGCGCTGCCTCGACGGGGTGCTGCCGGTCGTCGGTGCGCGAGGCGCGGGGCCCAACGGGGCTCCACTGGCCGATTCCAGAGGACCCCGATCCAACGGGTGACAAATGAGTAATGATCACACGACGACCGCGGTCCCGGGTGGCATTAGTCAAGCTTACTCTCTTACGTGGCTGTTTCTTTCTTCCTTCCCCTCCTCGCACCCCTCGTCGCCTAGCTATTTGTTTCCCTCTTTCTCACGCGTAGCATGTACCCTCTCCCGCACGCATGCACGCACGCACGCTTCGGCATTGAATCGTCTTGCGCGCATTGAAATGCTAAGCCGGCCCCGCGCGCGAAGCACCTTTTTCTAACGTGACACATGTGTATGCACGCGTGTGCGCTCGCGTACACGCGGGCCCCCGCGGGGCCCGGCCGAGCGGACAGGTAGGACGCATAGGTGTTACGGGACAACAGGTAGAACATTAGTCAAGAGCCTCGTTGCCGCTCGTCCGCCTTCGCCGGCCGTTAAAGTCGCGCTCGCGACCGTCGAAACGGCGGTTCCGTTCGCCGTCGACGTTGGCTTCCCTTCGCCGAGAGGCTGAACCGAAGAAATCCGCGATCGAATCAGCGGCGAAGTTTTTACTGTAAATTACAATCGCCAAATTTGAGATTCAACCGTTCTTGCATTTACTCACCTTTACACTTTACTCATAAGCGCCGTTATTAATCAAACTCAACGTTGTATGAAACGTCATTGCTTCCTGAATGCAACCTTTTCACGCCTCTTTCTAGACTTCTGTCCTTCGTGAAGCTTCCCGATTGCAAGCCGGATTTAAATGAAGTTCTAACAAGCCTTTGCTCCTCACCTGTCAACCGCTATTATAATCGCAACGCCAGATCTTTACGCCACGTCTCTATTCGTCCTCCCACCTCAGCAGTCGGCTTGGGTGACCCAACAAAAGGGTGAAAATCTCCGTGGTTCTCACGTCGAGTATGCAACGCGAGAGATCTGTCGGCCCTTAGCCGAGACTTTCGCTTATGACAGATTGCGGACACGCAGCAATGTATCATTTCAATTGTATCGTCCGTCTGCTCTCTCGTCAATTCGAGGAACTCTAGTCAGACCGAAGCGTTAGAGATCTATTCGTACGGCTTGAGAATCAATGTCTAGCAGAGCAGTACAATGGGAAAAAATTGTCTGCCTCTGCTATAAATTTTTAACTTTGAAAGTTTGCCACTTTCGAGAACCTCGAGGGAAGATATGCGTTTGCCTTACGATACTCTTCGATCACAGTAGAATCAATGTCTTAACTTGTCAGATCCGGTCTGACCGAAACCAATCAAGGAATCTTACGTATCGTAACGAGTAACGCCGAGTGTCTCACGGTGGTGTTTTTATTCTCACGGAATGCGGCAGCGAGATCGCATTTTATCGGCAGTTTCTCGTAATTCTCATGGTCCACGGACGGCGGAGTCACGATTCGACCTCCCGATGGACGAATGCCCTCTGTTTTCTTCTGCCGTGTCTCTTCAGTTGACACCGCCTGCGTATCGTCTTTTTGCATCAATCTAACTGCGACAAATAAAGTTAAGACGTGCATTTTTTTTACAATCGACTCACCAAGTATCGACGCAGATGCTGCATGCAAATCGTGCGTTTAGGCAAATGAATAAAATAATAGAGGAAAGTCCTCTAAGACGAGATAGGTTTCTAATATAAGACAGCGGGTCTTCAACACCCAAATTTAATTACAAATCTTTTCTTCCAACGATTACACAATCTAACAATGAATTTTCCACTAAACAGATTTCGCTCCAAGGGCAATAAATTCATGGTGGAATCACCTGATGATGCCTTATCCCAAATTAGAATCCTACCTCGAAACTTTCCTCTATTAATCAAGATCATCGACACACACGAATCGAGACTACACGATTGCTCTTTGTCAAACATTCGACTTGAGTCTTTACGGAGCAAATGAACGTTTCGAGACTGACGACACCCACGAATCACCGCAATGGGGTGATTCCTTGGACCTGCGAGGGTGGAGTTTAACGGACCATTTATTTCCATTTCCTTTCAGCATCCCAAACGCGATCTTCTTCTCGTATAATGGCTGCTCGCCATTACGCGCTTGAACCGTACACTCTTGCAAGCATTAGGCAGTCAAATCGCCACGAAAGCTAACTCTCTGTCTACCGCTAAAATAGCTCATTCGGCATTGCAAGTATACGTGCTTATAATTTAAAAATTATTCTTCTCAGAGTCGCACTTTGAAGAGGATGTAATTTTTCTCGTAAACTGAACTTTAAACACGCAAATCTTTATGGAACTTTATTTTTAAAGTACAACTCCGATAGATACCGCGGAGTCTATTGGAAAGGAACACTTGAAGCACTGTATTAAATAATTCAGTCGCTGTGCTTCTCGATATCTTTCCAATCTTGGACAAGCCAAATATGATTAATTCAAATGAGAAAATAATGTCCCAGCTGCGCTTTTTTTTGCATTTTACAAACTGATGTGGATACCAACTGTAAAGTACATTGATGAGGAGTTGCGACATGGACCGATATGATATAAATTAATATGAAATAAGAGAGTCAGCACGGTTCGAGCAAAGTGTAGTCCAATGGCTCATTTTAAGTTGCATCGAATCGAAACAATATGTTTCTCATTATACGAGTTGTCTCATACACGATTCACAAAAGTAGTAAAAATATTTGACATTATCTAAAGTGTTTTTTGTCGACCCAACTGGCAGGAAACTTTATTCGTGAATCTTACATCCACGAAGTTTTGATCATCCGGATTGTGGTCCTTATCAAGTGATTGGTAATAGTTAAAATTCTTATTGCGAAAAATATTACCCCAGCCAGGATTCGAACCTGGGACCTCCCTCAATCCGTGCGGGCGTCTTAGCCAGCTCGACCACCGGGGCTGTTAGCAGAACGGAAGACACACGCGTTCGAATCCTGGCTGGGGTAATATTTTTCGCAATAAGAATTTTAACTATTACCAATCACTTGATAAGGACCACAATCCGGATGATCAAAACTTCGTGGATGTAAGATTCACGAATAAAGTTTCCTGCCAGTTGGGTCGACAAAAAACACTTTAGATAATGTTAACTATTTACTGGCGACATAAATCTCTTATCTCCGTAAAAATATTTGGTAATTTTACTATCCTTTGCTAAAAATACCGCGTGATTTAACGAAGAAACGCCGACAGAGTAATGTAATCTCGCGAGTATTCGGACTGTACGAAGTCAATTTAATCCATCGCTGTAATTATCGCGAACGGAATTGTTTCACTTAAGAATGCCGACCAGCGTCGCGAACTCGTCGGATGCAACGCGTCCGAATGTCCTCCACCACCTCCGAATGTCATCTCTCATCTCGTCTCGTCGAAGGTGACACGTCGGCGAAACGCTGCATGCGTCAAACAGGAATACGCGAGCAGTATTTAACGTCGGCTCGACCCATTCTCTTCGCTAAGCGAGCGCGACTCGTTCTTTTTCTCGGCTCTCTCTCTCTCTCTCTATCTTTCTCTCTCCCTTTTTATTTTTTCCCCCATTTTTTTCGCCTCGCATCGTCATCGGTCGCGCTCTCGGTCGGCCGCGAAACGATACGCTCGATAATAGGACAGCCGCGGTTCACCCGGGCGATAATCCTGGTGGCGCATGAATAATTCAGACGCAAAGTGCAGGAGTAAATTCGCCGTCTGTCTTCGTTTCGGCGTGCCGAGACAGCTCGCTTGACCGTCGCGCCTTCGCCTCCTCACTCGCGGACCTCGTGGACCGATCTCGCCTTAAACGCCCGCGGATTCAGTTTTCCACCGCCGAGCTGGGCCGACGTTATACACCGGCCAGCGATGAATTATTCATCGGCCGGGTCCACCGCGAAAATCGCCGGAGTCGTTACCCGGGTACGACCTGTTCGAAATCTCCGCGCTCTCTCGTTGTTACATTCAACACTCGTTACTATAAAGTGCATCCTCGAATAACGACGCTCGCCTTGTTGCAATAAGTGAAATGATCGTGACTAAAATATAATATTATATATTTTTTTTATCGCGGAGAGAATAAGACTCGCCTGATCCGCGGGAATCTCGAAAGTATCGCGGGCTCGGTGTATTCAGAAGCTCTGTTAATTCATGGCGGTGATCGAAAAACCTCCTAAACAAGGAACACGATATGATAAATCAACTCGTATTATTAGCTGCAGTTGCCCCTATTGCGTTATCAATTAGCGTCTAGCAAAAGATCGAGGTCGATTATTTAAGAAACAATATAGACTGTTTTGCTCATTTCTTCCACAAAGGACTGTCAAACGCGGCGATGCTTCCGTTTCACCTTGCGTTCTTCGTATCGAGTCTCACTTAATGTCAGAGAGGGAGAGAGGGAGGGGGGGGGGGAGAATACGGAATTATTGAAAATAATTAGTATCTAAATATCGGATATTTAAAAGTTAACTCCACATTATCCCATTACTTGAATGCGGAGTAACGATTTCCTATGCGGCTCCTGCGCATTTAAATATCGGGAGAATCGATGGCGCTTAAAATTCATTCGTTAATATAGCTCGCTCGCCCGTACGGCGACAAATGATTTTAGCTAGATTTCCTTCTTAATAGGGGATGAGAATTATTTATTTATTTCTTGGAACGGTGGAAACGTCATCGCGCGCTTAATGCGATCGCCCCGACGTCGATATCCCCCTCCCCCCCTCCGCCAACCTAAGTAATACATTCAGCATTTCATTAGCGGGATACTTGATTAGCGTGCGAGGAGGGAAAATATTTTCAAGCAGGTTGCGACGTGCTCCGTCCGTCCGTCTTCATTAAGTCTCCCGCGTTGCGCTCTTAATCGAATTGCCGTCGTTTAATTCTTTCCCCCGGATTTGGACTTGTCGATTCGCATCACCGATAAATCCAGTCCGATATTAAACGCGAGTTACCTCACTTCGAGCTGGCCGAAGTCACCGAGTCGCCGATAAATTAGCATTATCGATCGTATCCCATGGTATTATTAAAGATCGCTCTGCTATCCGATAGTTTTCCCGACTTCCGCGCTAAAGATCGAAATATCTCCACGAGGCGAATCTATTTTCAAGTATTTGATTGACACGTGGTGCTCTTGATGAATCTTAATATACATGGACTCGTCACGTACTACAGGAAATAGAATTTCCTGAATTAGATCCGCGATCTGTACAACGAAAGGCAATTTAATAACGTTTTAAAGGTAAGCCGGTCTATAGCACCGGTCATCTATTCCGAGAGTGCTGTGCGGCGATCGCAGGTCTCAGGGAAACCTCGAATGTATGAAAAATGATTAATCTTAAAATAGCGGGGCTTTGCTACCATTGTCTTCTTTTCGAACACAATTGGAATTAATAAGCGGAATACCGTTTGAAGCGCTGCAAACCATTTTATCGAGTGGCCCGTCATCTTTAAAATGTTATTTTCGCCGCTAATAAATTTAATATTAATAATTGTCACGTTAAGTATTTTTCAATATAAATATATACGCGGAAAATGTCATTGAAGGTAGCATATTATATCAAAGCCTTTTCACTTTTTATCTCGTACCATTGGCACGTATCTTTTATTGGTCACTCCATTTGGAGCGTCCACATACGAGTTAATAAATCAGCTGTTAACTCCATTTCACCATCTATTATACATCTCGATTGAAGCGCGAGCCCTCGACCACGTTTGCCGGTTACGAATACGAGCGTTCCGTTTTCCCAGCGATCATCTGAAGATTCACTTGAAGACGCACGACACCCAGAGGCCTTACCAATGCACGGCTTGCACGAGAGGCTACAGCTCAGCCGCGGCCTTAACGTCGCACATGCAGTCCCACAAGAAGCATCACCAATCGTCGTCCTCTCAGTCGGCCGGCAAGCTCCAGGACATTGATTACGGGAGGAGAAGCGTCTCCTCGCACAGCACGTCGTCACCGCCGGTGCCGTCGTCGCCGTCGCCGTCGTTGAATCTCACTCTGAACCCAAGGAACGTCCTGAAAACGTCGCAGGGTACCGGCAGCACCTCCACCACGCCGATTCTCAACTCGCCCGTGAAGCTCACCTGCATGTACTGCACCCGGGACTCGTTCAGCTGCATGCAGCAGCTGCAGATGCACGTGCGCACGATGCACCAGGAGATCGTGAGCGGTGCGGAGGGTCTGACGCGGCAGCCGTCGCTAAGCAAAACGTCGAGCGAGCAGCAAGCGGTGTTTTGCTCGCGCGACAAGCCACCCGATCGCCAGGACAGCTCGAAGGACTCGCGCCCGGACCGGAAGTACCCGCCTGAGGAGAGGGCCGACAGGCCCGCCGGCGAACGAGACCACTACGAGAACGCGTTCACCTGCGACCAATGTACCATGAAGTTCTCCACCCTGGCCTGTCTGCGCGAGCATTCGCTGTCGATACATCGAGTAGGTTTCAGCGCGACCATGGTGATATGCCCGCTGTGCGGCATCCCGTGCGCCTCGACGGCAACCTACGCCGAGCACTACGTTCTCCAGCACTGCGATAATCGCCGACTGGTGCCGACAACCAGCATAGATTACAGCGAGACGAAACTGAACGGCGTTTACGACAGTACCCCAGCGAGAGACTCCAGGTCTCTACCGAGAAGCAGGAACGCTCCGGAAGCCGCCGATCTCACGAATAAACGTCCAACCAGGCCATCCGCGGACGTCGCTGGTGGCTACACCGCGGATACCCTCTTGTGCGGCCAATGTGACGCTGCGCTCAAGGATTTCGAGTCCTTTCGCGAACACGTGGCCCGGCACCTGCAGGCCGACCACCGCAACCAGGAGATATCCAGCAGGCAACATCTGTGTCCCAAGTGCGAGGCCGCCTTTCCGGCCCGCGAGGACATGCTGGCCCACCTGACCAAGCACTACCTGGGCCAGGTCAGCAAGGAGTTCGCGTGCGGCGCCTGCAAAAAATTCTACCCGCATCCGGATCAGCTTCAGAGACACTTGCTGGACGCCCACGCGCATCATCTGTACCGTTGCGCCCTGTGCCGAGACACGTTCGACTCCAAAGTGGCGATACAAGTCCACTTCGCGGTCAAGCACAGCCAAGAGTGCCGGATCTACCGTTGCAACGTATGCACCCTGTCCAACAACGAGAACTCGCCGCCGGGGGCGAACGCGGCTCCCGGCGACGGCAGGACCTTCTTCAGGAGCGAGGCCGAGATGGCGGCCCACGTGCGCAATGTACACGCGCCTCCTCCCGTCGTCCCGTCCCTGATGAATAGCAGTCCCGTCGGCGCTGCAACGAGAAGTCCGGCTTCGACGCCTGGCGTTGTCGCGACGCGCTGCGTCTTCTGCGGGACATGCTGCAGTTCGGAGCTCGAGCTTCAGCTTCACCTTGCCAGCCACTCGGCCAATCTCTACAGGTGTCCCATCTGCAGGGAAGGTTTCGCGGTGGAATTCCTCCTGGATCGACACGTCGCCCAGGTTCACCATCAGGCAGCGCAGGATCACCAGGCGCCGTCAGTCAGAAACAGGGAGAACGGGCGTGTTCATCGACTGGCCAGAAGTCAGGAAGAAGTAAGTTTTGTTACAATCAAAAAATTTAGATAAGTTTAATTGCCACGCCACCGTAAATAAGCCTAAAACAAGTATCTCGAACAAATTTAGAGAAATCCTTAGACATTCAGAATCTGTATTTGTAGAGTTAAATAATAAAAAGAAGTCTCTCCCAGTTATTAAAGATATATTACATTACGCAGAGATATTCTGTATAATGTAATTAGGTGCAAAAGAGATTCACAAAATGATTTTTCTAAATCCTAGACGAAATCTCTGAAGAGGGGCCGTTCGCCAGCGTCAAGCAACAACAATTCCCTGAACCAGCGCGACAACAACAACAAACGTTCGAATTACAGCATCTCCGGTCAACAATGCGAGCTCTGCGAACGCGGTGAATTCGCGAACGAGGCCGAACTGCAAGCGCACAAGAAACTCGCCCACACAACCCCCAAGCTATCCAACAAGTCCCTATCCACCTTGAGCATGACGTGTGGCTATTGCGGCGAGGTTTGTCGCTCGCGAAGCGAGCTGGAATCTCACACGAGGATTCAGCACGCATCAAATGAGCCTGGTGGCCGTCACAAGTGCAATATCTGCGACGAAGTGTGCCCGTCCGGCGCGAGTCTGGCCGAGCACAAGCTCCAGAAGCACTGCAAGATCCAGCTGAGCGACACGTGCGTGGTGTGTCGCAGTTGCCTCACGTCGGAGAACCAATTCCTGGACCACGTGCAAAGGCACAGTCTGGAGAACGTGGATCCGCAACAACGACTGGACAGTACGCTGCCTCATCTACCTGCGCCGTGCGTTGTCTGCCGACAGACCTTGATCAGTGATCTGGAATGTCGTCTGCACGCGCGGCATCACCTACGAACGTCTTCGGGATCGCGTAGCGCCGGTTCCAGCCCGACCAGTCCTGGTGGCGGCAAAGGCCAAAATCAAGGTTGCTGCCTCTGCTTGCGTGATTTCGCGGCCGAGGACTTTGTCAATCTACCACCCAATCCAGCCAGTACGAGCGGACAGCTGCTCAGAGTCTGCAAGCCGTGCTACATGCGACACTCTCAGGGACTGCCTATTCTGAACTCGACAACCTATGAGCACCGGGCCAAGTACGAGGCGGCCTGGCTCGCGAACAAGGACGGCCAGTGGAACGAGTCCAAGGACAAGTGGGAACACGAAAGAGGAGGACTCAAGGTAGAGGATCGATCTAGGAACGATGAAAACGCGAAGAAGCAACGTTGCGAAGAGTGCGGGGTAAAGTTTGAGGATCCCGAAGAGGCCGAGAAGCACAGGATCGCCGAGCATGAAAAGACTAGCGGTGGCTCGAATACGTACACCTGCATACAGTGTCAAGTTAGTATAGAATATTTCACGTAATTTTAATAACAGTTGGAGTAATACAGCATAAAATCAAAGACATCTTACCAGTAAAGAAATTCAATCTTTCCTTTTGTTAAAATAATGATAATGAAGAAATTAAATGTCGAAATAGAAATCATGATTAATTTATGTTAAAATGAAAAAAATGTAGGATATTAAAATTTTGAAAATTTTCATCAGTTTCCTTTTTGTTTAAAACAATACTGTTTTCAAATTTATAGTTTCCAAGGTAAAATATAAAAATTCCTAGGTGTCGTTTCCGACTGAAGCCAAGATTCAACAACACGTGAGGAAGGAACACTTGGAGGCATCCGGGAAAGCCTCCTTGGAGGCTTTACGGTGCCACTTGTGCCTATTCGAAGCCGCCAGTCCTATGCAGCTGCAAATTCACTTAATAGAGCACACTTTCGCCGGTTGTGCCGCCCTTAGCTGTTACATCTGCCAGTCGCTCTTCACAACTCCCATTGGCCTTCAGGTAATTTAACTGTCTGCTAATATGTCTCAAACGTAAAATAACAGTTATTCACTCGCATTTACGGTAACGACCGTGGAACTTCGGAGAAGAAAATGGCCAGATAAACAACTTCAAAAACTAGCGCAATATTAGTCATTGAGACAAATTACTTCACTATTCTTTGGACTTGGACTTACAATCGCCTATTGATTCCCAAACATTTCGCGCGAATGTAGAACTTTTTCTTGTAAATTGTAGCTGCGGACGAGATTGCATACTCGTTTAAATCTCTACATCTCTCTTTTCATGTTGAATAAATATCATATCGAAAAGTTGTTAGAAATTTATTATTTCGTCCTTTCGATTCATAGATACAAAACAATGCGTTTGTTCGCAGAATCATATGCTGCAGGAACACGGATTGGACGCGCGGCCGTACGACTGCTCCAAGTGCACGCTCAAGTTCTTCTTCAGCGCGGAACTGGACCACCACGTGCTGACCTTCCACCGTCCAGGGGAAGAGATGCGCTCTTCGACCGAGAACGCTCGCGAGAAGAATCGCGAGCCTGAGAAGCGCGATAATGGTGTAACGGTGAAGGAGGAAGTGGTGCAAGGCGGCAAGGAAGAAGAGGAGGAAGAGGAGGAAGTGAATGTAGATGATCAAATGGGGCAGGGGCGACACGACGAGGTTGCACGGGAGGAGCAGAAGCTGAAAACGGAAGTAAACGGCGAGACATCCGGCGGGATGGAATCGTGACTCTCCTCCGTCAGCATTACATTTCGTTCCGTTCTAGAATTAATTGATTATTAGAAATTCGTTCATTTATTAAGTTTGCCGCGAATATTTTAGACGACGCAAGTCACTTAGACACCGATTTGCAGACCGATGAAGTTCGATACAGTATTAATTAGGAGTATTATGGAGGAAAATTGCCGTTCTTGTAATTATTCCAGATGGTTAGTTTTTTACATATCGCTAATAAAATTACGATGTAAGGTTACCTTTTTATCGTCTCAAATCCTTGTATGTCAGTTTCAATTTTAGACGCTGAATATCTAAGTTTTCAAGGAACATAAGTTTGTTTGCGTTAAGTTTGATGAGAGTTAGCATTTATTTTATATTGTTTCAAGCATCGTATATACTCTCGTGGTTTATTATTGTAGAAGTACAGCATAGGTTTTAATTTTTTTTCTAAGTACTTCGATGAATGACAGATACATAGACTGCTCTAACGAAACTCGACCGACTGCCAAAATTAAAGCAATCACAATGTACATCTAAAATGTATGCGTACATGTATACATATGTATATATCAATGCTGAACGTTGTTAAATTTACATTATACATTAGTACCTTCGAAAGAAGTTTAAACTTAAAAAAAATCCAATGCGTGTCAAATCTTAGAAATCGGCGCACAAAGTCGATTTTTATTTAACCTCTTAAAAAATATTTCGGTTTACCTTGAGATTATTTCTATTCACAATCTACTCTCAGAAATTTTATTAAACAATTTTGAGAATTGGAGTTGAAAGATGAGACTAAATTATCTTACATGAATGAAATTCTCTAGTTTATATATGTATAACATCATGTTTGCAGTGTTGGACGTTTATAGTATTTTTGTTAATTTCTAAGTGCGTTCTATGAAACAATTGCTTAACGATCAATTACCTATTGATTTGTAACTGGGTGCTCTCGATAAAATGATCATCTCTTCGTGAAAAAAAATTGTAAATATTATGCAGATAGCAAGAGATATACATATATTATAAATGTTCTACCGATTTATATTAATTGATGCATAAGCGACGAAATTCTTGATATTTAAAAGGAGACGCAATAACCTGTCCATTAGATACATAGCGATAAAATAGTTATGTACGAAGTAAGTTATTGTTTCCAACATCGTACGTGCTGTATATACAGTATAATTTGTCCATTAGGCACATATAGCCGTCTCTAATAAGACAATTATATACGAATAAATTATTGTTCTAAATCGGTTTAATCGTTTCGTCTATCTCTTCCCGATAAATATTCTTTGAAAAAAATATCTAGCAAGATAAGCGCGAAATTCATTTCTCGTTCCAAAAAAAAAAATAGAAGAAACGATTACGCTTGCGAAATTTGAACGACGGCGCGAAAGGCGGGAACCCGGCCGGTACAGTCGAGCGCTGCTCCGACTGACGGTCGCGAGAGACGGGAGGGCCCGAGAGTGGGTACCGCGACTCTCCGCCGGTGGCGTCGGCGGCGGAAACGTTGCTGTTGCGGCTGCGCAAAGCCCGCGTCCCTGCGTCGCCGTGTACGTTTGCACTTGATTCAGCTGTTGTGTCCGGTCTGCGCTCGTGTACGCGTGCGTCCGTAATACGCGAGGACAGTGATACGGGACGCGTTCCTGTCCGCGATCGAGACCTCCGAGAGCGAGGGCCGCGCTGACGAAGCCACCCGTAGGTAGGCAGCCAGACGCGCGATGACGGGGTTCACGGAGAGCGCCCTGATCAAACGGCTGATGGATTTGAACCCGTCGCAGCAGAGCATCCAAACGCTCTCGCTCTGGCTGATACATCACAGAAAGCACCACCCGACCATCGTCAAGATCTGGTTCAAGGAGCTGTGCAAAGGTACGGGCGACCCGCGGGGCTCGTCTCGCGGCTGTCCCATCCGCCGGATCGAAACGTTGTCCTGAGCTCGACGACGCGGTGGGACGTGTCCCGCGACGCTCGTCGCTCCGGGCGAGCGTCGTCCGCATTTCCAACTGACAAATCAATTTGTCAGATGTGACACAATACCGCCGTAGCATGCACGGGGACTACGACGAGCCGTGAATCGTCGCGAATTCTAGCTCGGAGTCGCGTAGTTTTAGGTAGATGCCCGTTTCGATGAACGTTGCTGGAGTCGTCGATCATTTGATCCTGCAAGTTACCGATAAAAGGAGACGCCAAGGAAAGATGCAATGCTTGTTAAATTTCCATATTTAAATGTTGACACTTTTAAAGGCACCTAACATTACCGCCGTCTTCTGGTCGAGTGAGGCTAATGGCAGGACGGTGATATGTTAATGCATATTATCGAAGCGAGTAACAGTATCGGCAGCGATAATGCTTGAATTTGCTATGAGGCGGATAAGCAGATAGAATGAATTAACGCGTCAAAAGTATCTTGAGGGATACAGTCGGGACAAACGGTCGTACTACAGCAATCGTTACGTAGTTCTCGTTTGTGAAAAAAGAAATTAGAATTCCCCTGTGACTCCGCGGAATTTACGAGTGCAAGTTTAATACTGTCTGTATACATTTTTACAGTGAAGGACAATCGCAAGTTGATGTTTATGTATCTGGCGAACGACGTCATCCAAAATAGCAAGAAGAAAGGGCCCGAGTTTGGGAAGGAATTCGAGACGGTCTTGCCGAAAGCCTTCGAGCACATGAAGGGTTTTGATGAAAAGACGAGAGACCGATTGAACAGGTTACTACAAATTTGGGAAGAGAGAGGGGTTTATGACAAGGCACAGATAGCTGAGTTTAAAACGGCTTTCGTGGTATCCGAGAAGGACTGTGCGCCGCCACCGAAAAAGAAGACGAAGATTGAAGTAGAGAAGACAAAGGTGCGTACCCTTGAATCGTACCGAGGGCTCCTAATACGTAATCAAGGCTTTCGGTTTGAGAATAAGTGCGCATTGAATGCATACAGAGGCGTACGAGAGCAAGGGAGGTTATATGTGTAACGCGTTTAAGTAGTACAGCTTGTTTTATGTACCGAACAATTTCTTAATCTTAATAAATTGTTTTCTGAATAAATCAATTGCGATAAATGAAACAATGTGTGAGATCTACATCTGTTGCGCTTGCAGAAGGAGAAGAAGGAAAGAAAAAAGTCAGAGACTGAAGTGGAGGTGGACGGCACCAAAGAGCTTCATGTAACGTTGAGCCCGAGGACCCCCGGCGGCGATCCACCGGAAACCGAGGAACTCATCAAGGCCTTAATGGTTGATATCAAAGATATTACTCATGATGCAGATAGCAACAATCATGCAGAATTTGTACCGTTAGCAATAAAATATTTTGTTCATATGAAAATACATGTTGAATCCATGAGGCATATCAGACGCTTTGATGTATAACTCTGATATATCCACCCTCTCGATTTTATGCTTGGTTTAGCTGTGTCGTCGCTTACTTTCACTCCAAGTAGAATTTACGTTTGCATATTCTTTCTTGTTTCCTCAAAAGTTTCACTTTTCGCGAGACAAATCGAACAGATGCTGGTTTTTTAATAAGCAATTGATCAGTGCTTTGCTTCAGTACAAAGAATCTTTTAATTAACCGATTTTTTCTTTCATTCATCGCGTTGCAGCAATGTCGTATGTTTTGCTCTTCCTCGTACGTAGTGTACATTGTACAAAATGTAGCGACAGTGAAAAGTTCTACGAGGAACGCGGCGAATTTGTTGGAAGATCCAGGGCATCGTCGTGGATTAACGGAGTCTTCTGTGCTTTTCAGGATCTGGAAAACACCGCGTCTTCGGACGCTGGTGTTAGGGAGCGTATCGCGTCCTTACCACCAGAAGTCTCGGAAGTTTCGCTGCTCGCGAATCTCGCCGATCGAACGGCTGCGGATCAATTGAGTGCAGCGGTGAACGAAGCTGCCGCCCTTCTCGCCGATTACAACGGGCGGCTGCAGGCCGAGATGGAGGACAGGAGAAGACTGCTGACGATGCTGCGAGATTACACTCTGGCGCAAAGGCAGCTACTCCAACAGGCTCAAAGCACTCTAGAGGTTTCATCACTTTTTTTTTCTTACTGTCTAACCGATATCCAATATAAGTCTGGTACATGTACCATATACAACTATCATTGTTTTCATGTTCAGGATTATAAAGAAAAGCTTAAGAAGGTGTGTGCGGTTCGATCGGAGGTGAAATCTCACATTTCGAATCTTCCCGATTTAACGCAACTGCCCGACGTGACTGGCGGCCTGGCACCTCTTCCCTCCGCCGGCGATCTGTTTTCCATGCACTAATGCAGGCTTGGGAGCGCACTTGGGCAAGTGGCGTTTATATAGTTTATCACTTCGGTTTACACGAATGTAGACGGAAAATTCGTCGAGAGATCCATAGTACATAGATTTGCACGGCGAAAAAAATATGAAATTATAGTCGACGATAACTTTGTACTGTGGAACATTTGATAAATTCGATATATACATACATATATATATATATGTATGTATGTATGCATGTATGTATGTATAATAAGAATCCCCCGTGTATCACGAGCGTAAAGTACGAAACGGGGAAGTACCAACGGATAAGACGAAATTATTGAGGCTGTTTATACTGATCGTGAGAATAATGTTCACGTTTTCGTGCGAGAGAATTTTTTATATATACCTGTATATGTATTATATATCAAGAAATATATACATATGTATATATTTCTTGATATATAATACATAATAAGATATATAATAATATATATATAAGTTCTTACGACTACGTGAATACCATTCTTACGACAAATACAAATGCGTAAAGAAAAATGTATGTGCATTGTAATTCTCGGTTTTGTACTTTAAGTGACGAGTTGCCTAACTCCTTTTTGAATCCTTTTTCGTGAAACAGCGTACAGTATCTAAATAGGCTAACATAAATTCATTTTTATGAAATAAATTGTTACAGAGAAGAGAATATCTTATATATACATGTATATCCTAGCGCGCGCGAAAGACAACAATGTTCCTGCAATGCAATGCGACGCAACGCAACGCAAGTACGAGTATCTTGAAATATCCCGTAAGACATGTATCATTTATTTTATATCCTATCGGCAATCTATCTCGGGTATATATACATATACACTACCGCTCAAAAATATTGGCCCGTCGAAAATTTTAAAATAAATTCTCTATTGTAATTTTTATCAGTATTTATTGTTTATGCGTATGTAGGCTAAAAATTATAAATTTATCTCTCATTTGAGATAGATATTCGATAACGAGCGGAATATGTACCGCTCGTTATTATTATTGCTTTCGTAACGAGCGATTTTATTTTTCGGAGTTGTTCGTCGAAAAGTGAAATAATAAAATATTGTTTTCCCTTCGACAACGGGGATCAACCGACGTGCGATGACCGATTGGTCCGGTGTAGAGATCTCCGAGCGCTATAAAAACGCCGATTCTCGGAACCGAGTGTGCAGTCACACAGTCACACGGAGAAACAGAGACCTTCAGTGAGAGAGAGAGAGAGAGAGAGAGAGAGAGAGAGAGAGAGACTCAAGCGGAGATTTGGACAGAGAGACAAAAAGATAGAGGCCCACGAAAGAGCAGTGCCGAGACGTTCAACAAAGACGGAAGATCGACTAACTAGCGACGGCCCGCGCGGAGCATTACGCTCACATTACAGCGTCGCAATTATAAAAACATCTCTCTGATTCGATAGAATAAATATAGTTGTTATATTAAATTTTCTAAAGAACATCTTTCACAATCTAATCTATCCTCGTCCATCTGACTTACTTAATCTCCCCTCGAGACCAAACACATAGGAGGTAAATCGTCTCTTACTAGCCTGCACATATATGTAACATCTTCCTAAATAGCTGTAGAATAACAGTTGATATTTATTTATAGTTAACCGTAAAGTTAAACTTAAGCCTGTGACTCATTTCTTAGAGTGAACATATTACCCAGACACTTGATTCAGGCTATTGATGGCTATTGACCCAGGCTATTGATGATAATTCGAACGCCCTTTGTAATTCGATAAGAAGTATAATACAATTTTACTTCAGTTATCTACTTTGCCACTCGACCAGAAACTTTCTAAAATACTCTTTTAATTTCTCTTTCTAAAGATTTTTTGTTTTCCCCAATTTATCAAAATAGGTAAAACAAAGAAATTATCGGCAAAGATGAGAGGCATGATTATCGGACTTTATAAGACCGAAAAGAGCAATCGTCAAATCATAAGAGATTTGAAGATATCTAGGCGTACTTTTGATTACAATGTAAGGAAAATTGCTACTCAAGGCAAAGTTACCATGTCGCAGAGAATAATGTTCCTTCTAGCATTTGGTTAATTAGAACAGGCTTCAAGTTTTCAATATGATAACACATCGAGACTGTGTGTAAAACATTTTTTAAACATTTGAAAAGACAACTTAAAAAATTATGGCGTAAACCCCACAATCATCCGACCTTAACTCGAAGTTACTGCGAGATAAATTGGATTGATAAATGCGAAAATCTTGTTATATCTAAGACTTGAAGTTTTACAAAGAGTGGCAGAAAATATTCAAAGAAACGCTAAAAAATTAATAAGTTTGCTGAATCTTTCTAAAGCCGTAATCAAAAAATGAAAGCGGTTAAACGAATGAAAAGTTTAATTCTTTTAATGTATAAGTATGCAATTTGCAGTCATACATTATTTTATTTATTCCCAGACATTAGAGCACAAATATCTTGTGGGCAAATACTTTTGAGCGGTAGTGTACATATAAACAGTGCGCATCAATTTGTTGTTCATTTGTCAGGAAAGTCGTAAAATGCTTAAATAAGTGTTTAATCTATTTTACAAATTTAACTTGGCAAATTATCGTAAAGTTTATACAATTGACAGGGAGAGGGGCTAGGCGGGGCTGTCTAAGTTGATGATATGTACATGCATGCATGTCCATATGTCTAAAAAGTGAGTGTTTACTTTGTGTATTGAATATTGGATCTCTGTACAATTGTTAAAGTTGTCTTACAAGATATTTTTCAAATACACAATCATTGTCCAATGGCGGTATGTTGGAGGTAACATTCTGAGATCGCATAACCATTGTATATATTACATATTGTAGTCTAGTACGATTTCAGAACTGACAAGACACTCCTGATGAATATCTGATTGTGAACGAACGGTAATCCGCATAGATTATAATGTTGTACATGTGACTATTTTAAAAAGACAAACTGCGTGATTGTGCATACTGAGATCGGAAAAGAATTGTAATATGCGGAATATTACTACGAATAAATGTTTTGATCGTTATATACATTTGCGGCTTTAAAATCATAATTTTGAAAACTTCAGTTACCACCTCTTCAATTTATTATCTCTCGTCTATGCTTTCCAGAAGCTTCGTCAACTTGTGCACGAATCGACAGATTTTCAGGAATATTCAGAATTGCAACTCGTGAAATCTCAACTAATGTAACTTCTTACTCAGTGATAATCCCCCGATTCTTCGTTGCAATTTTAAATCGTCAAAATACTAGAAGAATCTAATCAGGTAAGCAGTAGCATAAATCCAAGTTCTGAAAAAATAAACAAGATTGTACGCTCGGACGTATTGTATTCACATATGTAAACTTAATATGCACTATACAAGAGATCACATATGTATAATTTACTAGAACTCATAAGGCTTAAAATGTACAACTCTCAGCTCGTCGTAATGTCGCAACAATCTTGTGGCGCACACAAAGAATGGACACATTTTCACCATCATTATCGTTGCCAAACATTTTATGTCTCATGGGGATGAGGAGGTCTTGTGGGCTTCAAAATTAACTTTCCAGTGTCGTCACAACTCATGTTGAAATCGCCAAGCACGCTTCTAGCTCGCTGAGTTATAATACTGGGTGCTATTACTCGCCTGTGCACCCCCAGCATAAACAATATCACTGCAAAATGATTTCCAATAATGCACTTGTAATATTAACTCGCACCAAATACACACAGGGTACACCTTCATATTTAATATCTTCATACCTAATATTATACTAGCCATCGTGAAGAATGGATGATTGTACAAACTCTGCGTGAAGGATACTGCTGACGTATTGGGATCTGTCAGCCAGTGCCAAGCACCGATGGCGGTGCAAATGGACATTAAACCCAGCAGCACTGCAAGAACACCCAGACATATGTCATCGAGGTAATAAAAGGCAAGCTGAAGAACCATGAGCAAGTATGATGAACTCCCAACAAGCACAGTTTAGTGTATGTAATCAAAATGATACAATATCTTAGAAAAATTGTAAGAGAATTAGAAAATTCAAAGAAACTCGTTACGGTATCTTATAGATACATTGTTATCGCAATGCAGACACATGTAAGAACTTAAAAACCGTACTTCTCCATCGCGTTGTAGCTGGTTGCAGGCTAGCGATAACTTCGGTGAGTCGCCTTTCGAAAGCTTTTAGATCTGAAAGTGCGAGAAGCGGAAGTTCAGCTTGGAAGATAACCTCGAAATCGACGTGGTTCATTTCAGAAGAACCAATCAAATGTCATTAACGATAATTGAAGTTGACGAACTGTCTCTCTTGATCTTCGACTCGAGACAACGGTCAAAACTGACAGGTGTCATTAATCGAAAATAACTGTTGCACACTAATAACAGACTGTTTATTTCTACACCGGTTTTAAAGACGCAATATCTGTCATTCTTCTAATGTGTTTTCTTTACCTTCGCATACTGTTTGATCCAACGACATAACTTTTTACGCAATCGGCTCGTGCATCTGCCTGAGATCAGAGAAAATCTACGATGATTCAGTTGACAGCGATTGATTGATAAACAACACTGCGTCACGTGTAGAGAGCATTCGCGACAACGCGCCGCGACGAGTGAAATTTGCGAAATACCTCAAGTGAATTTTTAGTAAATTACTAAAATTTACTAGTAAGTTATAAAAATTTTTGGTAAATATCTGAAAGTAATTTACTAAAATGCTGCTGCTACATGTTGTCCATGAAAAGTCAACTTTAAAGGCCTGTGTCCACGATGCTAAAACTTGGAACAAGATGTAGCACCATGAACACAGGCCTTTAGAAGTGTCGCATCTACATATCGTGTGCGATGAATGATGGCAGGGCCATTTTAATAACTAGCGAAATTTAATTGGATTGGTGGAAAACTGCGATTTAATTATAAGTTTGAATTCTTTGGAGAGAAAGAGAAAATGCAGGATATGTGGAAGGGGGGAGGAAACATGGGAGCATATGTGAGAGGAGTATGTAGACCGGGGGGTAGGAAAAACATGGGCAGCCAGTTAAAATAATAAAAGTGAAATTGCAATTAATTGGATTATTTTTTTATTTATACCACGTTCTTTTCCCATCCCATTCTACATAGTTACATACATTGTAATAGTCATCCAGTGTTTAGCATTTCTCAAAACTTGCAATTTTAGACATTTTTCAGATCATAATTTCAAGAAACCTCTCAGAAAATTTGTGAAATTTTAATGCTACCTTTATGCCGATTATGTTCCCCTTTTTCAATTTTTCGGGAAATAATTCTCAGAAATTCAAATTCTAGGAATTCTTGGAAGTATCAATTACATTCTTGGAATTTTAG